AAGCAATATATCATAAACCGTAGTTTACTCGCTAATTCCATAGAATACTTATGGTGGACAAAGTATTTACATTTGCATTAAATATACGTGACTTAAAGAGGGATACACAAAGAAATTAGACTTCCTGTACTTATGCTTTTTAATTATAGTGAGTGTTGTCAGAATTGTATTATGTGAAGCCCGCTAGTAAGGCCTCATACAGAAGGTAATTAGAATAAAATAACTTTTAATTAAAAAAGCTCACAGGTGAGTTGAATGTAATGTTTTGTTTGCATTAGCATGTGTAATTGTGAAACCCATAAGGGGTTTTATTTTAATTTCGAAATGTACTCAGAGGCGCTATTGGGCGTGGTATATAATTCGGTAATAAGTTACGCTATCATGATGAATGTGAAAAATGTCATTCATATTTGAATGTTAAGGGCAGGCAATTTTTTATTGCTGTGACTTGATGTATCAGCCACTTATTTTCATTGTTTCCATGCAAATCAACTTATTGCCAACTGTTAAGGGCCAGGATTCATTAAGCGCATGATAGATGTGACAAAAATTCGCGCGTGTGAAGTGCGCGCAAAACCTAATTTTCACTGTTTTTCTTTGCATTTTGAAATTATGAAAATCTTTTTATTTAGCTTTAAAAAGCTTCAAGTTTTTATTTTATACTCAAACTCTGAAATATTATTATATTTCACCACTTTTTGTTTGTCTTCGAGACAGATTAAGATAAAGATTATGCGTATTTCGTGAGATGAGAATTTTCAAAATCTTGAAATTTATTTTTTTGAGCATAATTTATTATACTCAATAAATAAAAAATATAGTTATGAATCATTTTAATTATTCGAATTATATAAGAAAAAGCATGTAATATATAAAATTTACGTGTCACGGTTTTAGTTACCATACTCCTCCAAAATGGATGGATTTTGATGAAATTTTTTATGTATATTCAATTGGTTGAAGAATAGGTTTTATATATTTTTAAACCCCTAAGTGCTTAGGGTAGTCCTCTCCGAATTTATGTGGAATAATAACGTTTTCCAGATCAGTTAGTATAAATATAGAGTTGGGTAAATATTATGCTAAGACAGGTGCGCACATAACATCCTGATTGACCTGTATTTTTAATTAGTTGTTGTTATTGTCATTATTTTTTCTTCTTCTTCTAAATACTAATTAAACTTGTTATTCAGAGGGTTTTACAGTCATTTCTTAAATCAGTGGTTTTGATCAGTTACAAATATTTATGTATACAATAAAGCTTTTTCATTCAAAATAAAAATACATACTTACATTAACCCTAAAACACAATGCACTCCTTTTTGTAATTAATGTAAAAATATTTGTCACGGATCGAGGATGCTGCTATTTAGGCAAATATTGCAGTTATGTGTAAACAAATGGCGTTGTATTTTTTTGAATCGCGCCAACGAAAACGCAAGAAATCAACTAGTATGTTTGACAAGAGATAACTACTAAGGGCAAAGAAGGGGTAGCTTAAAGACTTTTTAGGACTGCCACAAAACATCGCTGTTGGGGCCGAGGTCAGCCTAGACTGTTCTAGGTTCGACCCATTCTGGTATTAAGTCATCTGAATACAAGCTCGATAACTACGAGTTAGCACAGCTACTAGGGTGTTTTAAAGCGATTGCGAAGCGAAGTGATTTAGTAAGTGCTGTGAATTTATTTACGACATTCTGGTAAATGAAACAGTGAAGTTGGAGTGCTGCATGTTATTAAAGAAACTTTTTATAGCTTTTCTGGGAAGAGTAAACTGTCTTGCCTTAAAATAAATTATAATTATAAGGAATTAATTGTATCCTAAACCGCAGCTTGTAACAATTTTACAATCATCGAAACCCAAAATTTTAAGTATTTTAAATTATAAATATTTGGTCATCTTTTTTGATAAAAAAAGTATTCAAATGTATACCCATACCCATAACCCTTTTATAGATATATCTTCTGTACTAATAATAAAGCTAAAGAGTTTATTTATTTGGTTGAACTCTATGATCTCAGGAACTACTGGAACGAATTGATTTGTATTTTTTGTGTTGAATAATTCATTTATCGATGAAGGATGATATATATCACGCTATTTACCAAAGTAGCTTTCGTTTTCAATTTTGTCGTCGACAAAGAGGTAAAAATATTTATTTTTCGGGTACGTTCACTACATGAGTCCGACTTGCGCTTACCTGATTTTTTAATAATAATTTAATGGAAAATTATTCAACGGACGACAAAATATTAAATTGGTGACTATTAACGAGATACCTTAATACATAACAGAGGGGCATTAAATTATATTTGCGAGAAATTTACTAAACTTCCGATAATTATGAATGACCGAAAATTAAAAAAATCTTGAAATGTGTATCAGAGTTGAATAATAAATACTGAGTGGACGGAACTATATTCGCTCGATATCTACAAATTGAAGTGATGGCAGAATATCTGTTGGCAAAATATAATTAGGCGTCACACACTAAAATCTCTGAAAATGCTGAATTGAGAGAGCAAGAACAAGCTGACCGTCAAGGTGCTATGAGTAGGTATCAAGCGTAGAATCTTGCACAAGTAAAACATCAGTCTGTTTTAAACCCTTAAAATGAAATCATTTATGTGAAAGTCCAGAATAAGCACAGTAGTCAAATATCTAGATCCAAGCAAAATGACTACGTTATTATTAAACGACTTCAATAAAAGTATAAAAATAATTTGTTAGTATTTTTTGCAAGGCGTATCGATTTCACTACGCACTAAAATGAAAAGAAGAGCAACTGGACTATTTTAAGAAGACAAGAAGAAGACGTTATTCACAGAAACACCGGTGGGTTTTTATTATTTAGTTCAATCTATTGGACAGGCCTATGCCCCAGCAGTGAGGACGTTGATAAGCCAATGATGATGATGTTTATAAAGGTAGATACTTATTGGCAGATTTTTAATTAAGATTAGCTAAAAACTTAAGTATAGCAGGCCAGTGTACACACAGTACCCTTAGATCACGTGGGCGAAGCCGCGGGTTATAGCTAGTTGGTAATACACAAAGAGTCAGAAATCTGTTCGAAGCGTAGACATTGACAAACCACCTTCGATCTTTATTTATAGATAGATGTAAAAGGATTTGCTCCCAAAATTCAGTGCTTCTAATTTAAAGTCTGAATTTTTGAGACCAAATGCTTGGTGACTTACTGTAGGACATTTTGATGAACGACAAACAAATAACAATAAATTATTACTAGATATATACTTCCGTCCGTTTTCAATCTCACAAAAGCCAAAAACAATGGCATACAGAAAAAGCGTAAGGGAAATTTATTTGCAATAGGGAGGGCATTATACAACATTAAAGTTAATCAAATAAGAGGAACTTTAAAGACAATAAAGATGTTATTTGATTGAACCCTTAATGCTGCGACAGCGCTGTGCTTGAGACTGTGTTCGTCGCTGTATTTTTAATTTCGTCCTGCCTCTACATTAACCTAATATTTAAAAGGCTACATACTCAGACACATGTATCATTTGTAATGTAATTTATTTTTATTGATTATTTAAATAATGTAATAACTATATATGATATATTTTATAATAACACATAATATTATTGTTAAAGGTAGATGCCACGTAAAGTTTAAATTTACCCAATATTCGAATGGAACTTTATTTAAAAGACTCTAAGATGTATGAAAGTGAAAAGAACGGATAAGTGATTAGAAGTGAATGGAATGACTTCGAGTGAATTTTTGCAAGAAAATAAATATGAGTGCAAGACGTTGGATACGTCTTAGGTTTTATTTGTATAAGAGAGCATGTAATTTTAAATGCTACTCTTTCTTACTATAGTTATATAAATTTATTATTCCTCGTACTGTAACTTAATTGTAGCACAGAGAATTGTTAATATGAATAATGAATCAAAGGGAGATGATCAGTGAGTCCATAATAGTCCCATCTGCACAAGCAATACCCGTCAAGATCATAACGCATGAGCCAGCCATAATAGCGCGCTACACATATGGGCTGATGAATAAATTACGAAAATATACGCCTGCGGAAAAGAAAGAAAAGGTTTTATTTATTATACAAAATTTATTTAATTCATTCTTTACGTCAATTTTACCGACGATGAAAATGTAAAGTGAAATTTATCGTTTTATGGTTTTGGTGATTTTCATATACCTTCTAATAGTTTATTTTATTCGTATAAATACCAATTACATAAATATTTGAGGAATTATCAAGTTTTACCTGTATCTTAGAAGTATGTGTCTTTCCAGTGACATTATTTTGACTTTGACATTGAAACGAAATAAGCACTTCATTAAAACGTGCAAGTGGACAACGCGTATTACGCGATTCTAAAAATATTAGGAATAAAATAATAACTTCTGTTTTTTTCAATTGATTCGAAATATTATTCTCTGTATATGAAACAGCGATGAAGCGTTAATTTCATAAAAGTTTCATAGATGCTACGAGCGTCGATGCAATTACAGTCTCCCTCGAACGTCGATTCACTTTAGCTATTACTCTCTATAGTGTCTGATATTTATTTTTAACTTCCATCACTTAGTTGAGTGTTTCACAGGGATTTGCCAATTCTGCATGTATTAAACAGGTTTTTTATACTCGACACTCACGAGTATTAAATTTTCAAACATTGTTTTCAATTTACGTATCCCGAGTATCAGTCTGTCATGTTAAATATAGATTTTTTTTATAAGTACTAGTGCAAAAAGAGTTACTACAGTTAAAATAAAGAATAAGACACATCAACGTCCTAGAGACAATTGAATTATTCGTTAAATGCCCATCATTATACTATTTAAAAGAGATATTTATCTTATTAACAGCCCGAGTCTGACCCCAAATCTGTCAGATTTTTTAATACTTTCAGTTTAAGACGGAGTGATTTTTTAGTTTATTTCCGTGAGAAAATAAAATTTTAATAATGAATTATTTTAGAATTGATATATCATTGAATTGTTAATATGAATAATGAATTAGGTTAATTATCAGCAAAAATATCAAATATTTGACAAATTCGACAGTCTCATCGATCTATTATAGTGTAGTTGGAAGAGAAGTTGCTTTTGTTTGTATTAAAAAAATATTCCATTAATGGTTGTTTCAAATCTGATGGAAGAACCCTATCAATAAATGTAAATTAACCCTTAAACGATAAATAGGGCTTTAGAAAACATATGAAAGTTACGTCTGGCGAAAACATACCTATATTGAGGTGTAGTATAAATCGCCAACTAAATGGTAATGTGCCTAGATCCTGCGTTATACACGACGATTCCTTAAAGTTCTCAATTCAACTCACCTCAATCAATTTGAAACGATTTCTATCCATCCTTTTACGCCAAAGCTCTTGAAGCCTGTGTCCACAAAGCAATTTTCCCAGTTTATAACTAATAAATTCATTGCTATTCGGTCTCAGACCGGTATAGTACGGCTTTCGCTCTTGTTTAGTGACTGGCGATATTAAGGCGAGCTTCGAGGACGTTATGATAACATAGTTATTTATTTCTCGAATGCTTTATTTTCTTTAGCTGCGGCTTAGTTCTTTTCATTATATGTTATTTTCTAGTTGCTGAATAAGTTTTGAAATATTATGAAGTACTTTTTTTCTTAATTCGTTGATATCTCACAACTTTTAGTATCTATATTAATATTATAAAGAAGAATGATTTAATGTTTGTTTATACGTTTGTTTGCATTGAATAGTTGTTGTAGAAAAATGGGAACATAGTGCAATAATATATTATACCTTGGGTCAAAAAGTTATACCTATAGACAGAAAAAATGTTACACTCAATAATAAAAATATCTTCTCGTTCCACTAAATAAGAAAAACCAAAATTATGTGACGTTATTAAAAAACTTACCTATGTATGCATTATTAACTAATTTCTTCGGTCACATGATCAGCATGTGCAGTAGATATACACGTATACACAGACCTACACACTGACACCCAAATATGTACATACCCACAAATTATTATACAGGTGAAATAATTTACTAAAATATTACCAATATTACTCGTATTTTATATTTTCATCGTTAATATAAAATTTGTTCTTTTGCGTGGGACAGGCTTCAAAACAACTGGAGCAATTTAAAAAAGTCTTTCATCTACGGAAAGCTCCATAATACGCGTTGGACATAGGCTATAATTTACGCAGGCGACGGCGCGGGGAAAAAGCTAGTTTGATTGGTTTACAATTCAAGAAGAAATAGATAAACATATATACTTTCATAGAAATATATATATGCCTTAAACATAGAAAATCTTACTTTCGGATTTTTAATGACTTCAAAATACGCATTGTTTTGTTTTTTTTTATCTTAAATAAACAAATCATCTAAATATTAGTTTAGGTGATATCTGATAAAAAGCGTATTTTGTTTTATTTCAAAAGGTTTTATTACAGTATTTTGTTTTATTACTTAAAACTATTGATTCGATTTCGTTAAAATTCAAATGGGACCACCTTGGTCTATTAAACTGTCGAATAAAAAAGAATATCGAAAATAGGCCAACAATGAACGGAAATATCGGTGAACAAATATTAAAAAATATATTAATTCTACTGGTCATTCGCATACTACCCAACAACATGTAATATAATGATATATTATTATTTATACCTACATAGAGTGTACAGTTAGTCTATACAAATATCGTTAGCAGTACATTTCTTCTACTGTTTGTGCTGTTGTTTGTTAACGTATTCCTTGTACGAGTATGTTTTGATGGTTATTTATTTATTAAGAAGAAGGATTCAAGAATATTAACTTGATGAAATATTGTTTTAAAGATATACGTATGATTTCTGCATTCACAAAGACTAGTGTTTATTCCCGTTTAAACATACACGTCTTAAGCCCTCTGTTAGCAACCTTTGGTTCGCAGAGTATCAAAGAACCTAGGTGAGGTATTGTGATATATATCAGCGTGAGCATCACTTCCTTAGCCACATCTTAGTGACCTTTAGGCTAAAAATATCTAACAATGGTCTTGCAACCCGCTACGTTAGAAGTCCATTATTTTGAAGAGTTTTATAGGTTCCTTAATATATGTATAGGAAAATTGAACTAACGGAGTCTGTGCTTATCGATTAGCAAACGCAGCGTCGAATAGAGCGCTGTCATAATATTAGATTTGAATCCAATAAATGCTCTATTACTTTTTGAAGAAGGTTTATCTGATTGAACATCAAATGCTGTAACAACATTGTGTTCGATGATATTTATCTTTTATCCAGAATATATAGCCGTCATTTAAAAAAAAAACTATAAAATGCTTAACTAACATGACTAAATAAAGAATTAAGTATTATTTACCGATTGGTAATTTTTGTCGACAGGGTCATCAGCCTGCGAACCAGAACCACCAAAACACGAGACTGTACCGATAGGCCGTAAACTAAGCAAAGGAATGGCGGGTATCATATCGAAACTGAAGAGTGGGGTGACGAGTAACACCCCACCGCCGTTGGAGAGTAACCCCATCATGCAATACTTTGAAGTGGGCAAGGAGTGTAGCACGGCAGGACCAGGTCTAGTGTGGCGGATCCACGATGCCTATCGCAAGAGTGATGGAAAGGTAAGCATACTAGAGATAGATAGAATATTCTTAATAGTACACACAAGTACACAAGTACACAAGTGTTCTTTTTCCGGGCAACTTTGGTAGGCAAAGACTTATTATAATGTTAGAACTAGAAGTAACTTATAATGTTAGATGTGTGACTGAATTTATTATTGTACCCACACCACAAACAAGAAAAACATATACCTAATTATTAAAACAAAATTTCTAGTACAATCAGCTAATATTGCTAAAAAACAATTTTCTTTCAGGTGACCGTAGGTATTTCAATGGTAAAAATAAGAAGTCAATGCTACCTGAATAGATATATAATTAACTGAATTATTTAAATAAAGTTACTGTTTGTTAAATTAAAAGAATTAAAATGTATGTGTGGATGGTGACTGACCATGTTATTTCAATACAATGATATCCACCGCTGTTTTATTTAAAAATACTTATTTAAACTTTTAACAATGACGCCAGCTTCGGTCTGGCACGTATATTTTCATTCTACATGAAAACAATGATAACATTTTATAACAAAAAAAAAATAAAAATAAACAAAAGGCGCCTGGTGTATTTTAAAATTTATTTTGAACGTATATGATAAAATATTTGTGTGTAAGAAAGAATAATATGATTTAAGAGGTAAGTATATTATATGTGTTTATGTAACTACTAAGTTTTATTTCATTCTATAGCAGATAAATATTGTAAGTTTGTATAAAATGTTAGCGATCCATCTATCTTTGTCTTAATATAAGATTCTGGACCTACCCAACGACGTGTTATAAATTAATTGATTTTTGAAATTGTCATTAACGTAAACGAATTCAAAAAATCTACCCCAGTACTTCGCCAGTACTGGGGTACTGGGGTACTGGGGTACTGGGGTAGTTCGCCAGTACAGTTTGAACCCCTCTTGATATTATAATTGATAAATAAATAATAAATAAATATAAATATTAAATAACATCACATACATTGCTCAGATTCCAAGATGAGTAGCTAAAGCCCCCGTATTATGGAGTATCTGAGACAACGAAGGTACCACAACACCCAGACCCGAGTCAATATAGAAAAGTTCATTTTCTACATTAACCCGACCGGAAATCGAACCCGGGACCTCAGAGATGGCGACACCTTGAAACCGGCGTGCGAACCACTCGGTTACGGAGGTCGTCAAAATTATAATTTATAATTGATAAATTATAATTGATAATGTGTTATACAGATGAATATCTGGCCAGAAGATCGAATTCCTTTCAATATAAAACGTCAAAATAACAATCACTTTTGATGATCATTATCGCCGTCGCGTCGTTTCTAATTAAATTTATATAATGTTTACTTATTTTATCGCGACTTTTATAGATTTCCTTTTAAGTGTACTATTTTCGGCAGTTTATTTCCAGCGTTATTATTTTTAGACATATTTATATTTATCTTCTTACTATGATCAACGACCCCGTAAACAAGTGTCTGATACTGCGGTTTGAAAGTGTCGCCACCATGAAGTCTCGCGTTCAATTCCCCAATGGGTGTATGCAGAAAATCATATTTTAGATTGCCTTGAATCTGGGTGAATGTGGTCCCTTTCTTTTAAATTGCCATAACACAAGCTTTTTAGATACTTACCATTAAGTTATTACGCTAGACATTCTAAAAATAAAATAAGTCTTGTAGCCTCTAAAAGTCTATGAATCCCTAGAGTTCATTTTTTAATCTTCTGGGCTGATTATGATTCATTCCAGATAGACGCTTCATTTATAGATCAGTGGATCAGATCCTCACACGTGTTGGGGGGAACGAATCCGGGATCTTGTAAGGAGAGTTCATATATGAGATACAAATATCATCAGCGTTACTTAATTAAATGAAATTGTAGTTAAACGGTTAAAATTTATAGAGTTTTAAGTGCTCCAGAACGCTGGTACAATCCCATAGATGTTGGTTCTGTTGAGCTTCAAAAGCTTTCAGTTGGTTTCTGCGCATAGCTTTCAATTAAGGCTGGTAAAGGTTGTCGTTTAGGATTTGCACCACATGGCTTTTCAATATAGGGCTATTTGTGGTCTCTCTGTGCTCTAGTCTTCGCTACTTCAATCCGCTTTCGATGCTTCAATTTTGCAATCCTTTACCAAATTTTGAACTTATTATATTTGATAGTTTCTTAAAACTAAAACCTACTTCAAAAAATGGAACAGTAGGTAACTTATAAAAACTAAAAAATCGTTTCTTATTTGAAGTCTTAGAAAATCATACTTTTATTATTGTTTATCTGTGTTTCACTATATCTTATGACACATTTTGATTCATTTCTAACTTAATTTGTTTGTAGTGGTTCATTTTCGGAAATATTTAAACCACCATGTAAACTCTTTCACATGTGTATGCCTCTTTTCTTTTTTTGTATTTTTATTAAATTCAACTAAAAGGATTCTAGTTCCATGGAATTAGAAAAAAATCCCAGCAGTTGTGTAATATAACTGCAGTGGCGGAGTCGGGAAAATACCTAGTCACATACAAAATTCTCCTATCAATGACGAACGTTACAATAAAATTATTATCTACACACCATTTGTGATGTCATACCATATTTAAATACAACCAGTACCATATTTAATGCCTAGTGTCTACTTTGGAATGAATGTATATGATGTTGAATAAAACTTTATTTCATTAATTATCCAATAGACATCAAACGCATCTGACATAGGTGCTGAGCAGAAAATGTATAGATCAAACATATAGCGTATGTTATATTACGTTTTGGTACCCCGAATGCAAATTAATTGGCCTTTTTTCATTACATTACTGTCCGTTTGTTTATGAAAGGACACGCGACAGCAAATTCGGATTATCCCCCGTAAAAAAATCTTGTTGATTATGATAATAAAATGTAGATACACTCGGTCGAGAATACCCGTGTAAACGGGTTTGGATTGAGAAAAAAAAGTATATTTACCTAAAATTTCATATAAATAAAATACTATTTTTACTGTGGAGATTTGTAGAGTAATTTAGCAAAATTGAAAGAGGGTTGTTAACTTTTTTAATCATCATTAACACTTAAATAATTATTTAGGCATTACCTACATCACTACGGATAAAATTACTAATATGGATACATAAGGAGAATCGTAACTCACTGTGTGTGACCGGTGTGGATCGCTGGATGCACAAACATCATGAAAAAAATTTTGAAACACGAAAGAGTTCGAGATAGTAAATTTTTGGTACATAATCCTTTGGTCTTAGCGAATGTTGTTTATTTCCCGCAAAGCTAGCATAACTAAGCAACCATGCTCCAATCAATATTAAGTTTTATTGATTTACGTGCAGTTGAAAACTAATTATTTACAGATCCCAGCAGTAGTTAGGTAAACCGAGTTCTCGACTCCATTAGTCAGTATAGATACATAAGTTTGAGACGCGAAAACCTATATAGAGAGTTGTATTAAAGTCCTTATACAAATACAAGCAGTTACATTTAACTTAATTCAATATTCGATATTAATATCGAGTTATTCGGTGTAGTACAAGTACTTCAAAAGTTGTTAAGTGTGCTTACGTATATTAAATATTTACTTAGCCCATCTCAATTAGTATCGTATAACCTATATCTAAAATGTTCACAACAAGTTTCTTAACTTTTTAATTAATTTAAGGTGAATAGTAGGTTTGATATCTTTCAGTGTAAGAAGAAGTAGTTTTGAATTTTTATAAAATAAAATCTTATCATTCTGCTTAAGTGATTTTTTTTAACAACAATGGATGGATGATATGGTCTATGTCTTTTTTGTCATAGCGGAATGCTTTATGAATTGTCCCTGCCGCTGGATAGATGTCAGAGGGTGTGTCGGACTGAAAAGTCTCACTGAAGGATAGTCATAACGAGGGTGGCATACCCACTAAATGTCATTTGGTTCATTACTCAGTATAGGTACCCCCATATTTGGAGCGGGAACGGTCTAGAATCTAACAAGGACTGATTCATATCGAGCCCCTGAAGTGGCCTGTGCTTATATCAAATTACTCATAAAAACCACCAATTTGCCGTCCATTTTCTTAAATAACTTGAAAGCGGTCATATAAGATTTCGAGTTTTGCTTGTTTGTAAAGATAATTTCTAAAAATACTTATCAAATGACAATTTTTTTTTACCTACGGGAAGTTATATCAAAAATATAACAGCTAGTATCAGTATATTCGGATTCCTGAAAATTTGCTGTTTAATTTGATATGTCTCATAATACAGTTTCATTTTTCTGAACTTACCCCCCAAAAATCTTTTTTTTAAACAAAGTAAATTAGCATACTATCTCTATGTAACGACAATAGCAAATATTATCAGCGCGTCGTTCTACTTTCATAATAGTAATACGAACACAGTAGCTATACGGAAATTATCTGCTGACAAGTCGAGCTCATTTCCATTCTGTTTTCCGGTCAAATTAATCTCGTCTTGTAGGTCAATTAGTGACTTCCTTGGTGACAACGAATCAATAATACTTAATAAATAATTCAAGGAATCTTTAGATCTAACGATAACATTATATAATGGAATATTTACTGCTTCGTGTATAGGTCTTTACTTTAAGATATTATACAATGTAAAGGTGACAAAATCTTACAAAGCTTGAACTACTAGAAGATGGACATATGACATGGATGTTTGCTAAGAAAGTATTTAAAAAAAATCAAGCCCTAAGTGGTTGTATATATCGTACATTTTAACCGACCTCATTGGTTACTATAGGAAAATGGAGAAACAAAATATTTCTGTGACACATAATAAAAATACTGACAATAACAAAACTGACAGAAATTAAAAATTATACGGTAGTTTCCTTTAATTGGGAGGTGTTGCACTACTATAGTAAAAAAAAAATACTTTAAAGGATTATTTCCACTTGTTTGTACATTGGTAAACTGTGGTGTCCTTTTTTGTTTCTTATAGTCCATAATACGAAGGCTACTTGCTTTAGAATTTGAGCAATATGTGCGATCTTGTCCAATATTCATTTATTATTATTAAACTATAATATTTTGTAGTGTATATCATTTACGTTACGACATTTCTTCAAAAAGATTATTTGTATGTGTAATTAATATATCTATCGATAAGCATGTTTCCTACGTCA